CGGGAAATGCAGATCAAAACCACTCTGAGATACCATCTCACTCCAATTAGGATGGCTAATATCCAAAAGACTGAGAATGATAAATGATGGTGAGGTTGTGGAGAAAAAGGAACCCTCCTTCACTGTTGGTGGGACTGCAAAATGGTGCAGCCTTTATGGAAAATGGTTTGGAGGTTCCTCAAACAATTGCTGATAGATATACCATATGACCTAGCTATTCCACTGCTGGGAATATACCCAGAGGAATGGAAATCATCATGTTGAAGGGATACCTGTACTGCAGTGTTTATTGCAGCACTATTTACAATAGCCAAGAGTTGGAACCAGCCCAGATGTCCATCATCAGATCAGTGGATATGGAAACTTGTATATCTACACAATGGAATACTATTTTGCTATAAAAAAGAATGAAATACTACCATTCGCAGCAACGTGAATAGACTTAGAAAAATTATATTAAGTGAAATACGTCAGGCACAGAAAGAGAAATACCACATGTTCTCACTTATTTGTGGGAGCTAAAAATAAATAAATAAATACACAAACAAATGGAGGGGTGGGGAAGAAGACACAACAATCACCATTCCTTGAACTTGTTAAGACAAGCAAACAGATATGATGTCGATGGAGCGGGGAGTGGGGGAGGAGAGGGAGGATTCAGTAAAGGGACACGAAAATCAACTACATTGTATATTGATAAAATTATATTAAATTTTTTTAAAAGACTGATAATCTGATAAAGAAAAACTCTTTAAGAACTAACAAGTGAAAAGTCTTTATGAAATCTATAGGATCGTTATTTGTTTCTGTTTTCATGTGTACACTTATATGTGTGTATGGTATGTTGTGTTTACATGTGTATGTCTATACTTATGTTTGTATGTTGTTTACATGGTACCAAATTGATTTATAAATAATGCACACTCCTAGATTAAATAATTAAGTCCAAATACTTCTCAAGTTCATTTTTAACTTCATGTGACTTTAATAATCTTTGGTAAATAAAACTAGTTTTAAAATTGTGGTGAAATTAAATAGAAATGTTTTCCAAATTTAATTTAAACATCTTTGTCTAGGTCCATTGGTAAGACAAATTTATGCTGGCTCTGCTAAATGTTTTAAGATCATAAGATTGATGACTTTGTTATATTTTGGATACTGACTTGATTTATTTTTAAGCTAAAGCTGTGAGTCTGGCTGCTAGGACATGCTGGAAAAGGTCATATCCTCCAGGCATTATTTTTGTAGATTTGTCCTCTGTCCTGGACTGTGCCACCCTGCATGCCATGTGAGGATTTGGGACCCAAGATGGCTAAGGGGTAAAATATTGGAGAGGGTATCTATGTCCAGTATTTCAAAGGCCTTGGTTAAAAGGAGACTTAAAAAAGAAAAAAAAATTAAACAATATTCTGGCATAACAGATTAAAGCCTCCAAAGTCATCACAATGATACTTTTTGTTGTTCTTGTTTTTGGCCACTGGCTGGTACTGGGATCTGAACCCAGGACCTTTGTGGTATAAGAAGCTCTAATCAACTGAGTTAATGGGCCAGACCTCTGATGCTCTTTTAAACTCCATTTTCCTTATTGGACCTGATGAGGATCTAGTCACTTTGGTTAGATGATATCAAATTAATTGGGCAACTAACTAGATCTTACTAATTTGGCTGATTAGCTCTCTAAAACTCTCCAGAAGAAGGAAAAACAAGCCCTCTAAAGTCATAAGCTTACAGCTTAGTGATTATAAAATGGTTTTTCATCTACAGATACTGATATAAGACAGTTTAAAATTACTTGCTTCACTGAAAATTAGGAATACTAAAAGTTAATATTGTAATTAATATATATAATTAAGACTACTGGATATAAAATAAACAATTCTGTACACAAAATTTAGAAAGAAAGTAGGATGTGTTTTTTGGTAAAGAAGGTTGTAAAAAGGTATGAGAATGTGTGGGTTTTTTGTTAATAAAAAGCTAATTTTGTCTAAGCTTGAAGAGTAAGGGTTGTTTCAAAATTAAGAGGAATGTCATAGATAAAACTGAATGGATATGGAAAGTTGTGGGAAAAAAGTTGAGAAACATTTTTTAGAAGTTAAAAAAAATGCAAATGAGAAAGAGAAAGAGACTATATCTTACCAACCCAAAAAACCAACAAACACTGAAGACAAACAATAAAAGGGGAAGAAAGGAACAGAAGATACTTAAAACGTCCAAACAAAAAATGATAAAATGCCAGGCGTAAGACAGTACCTTTCAATAATAACCCTAAATGTAAATGGGTTAAATTCTCCACTCAAAAGACACAGACTGACTGGTTCGATTAAAAAGCTATACTCAGGCCGGCCCTGTGGCTCACTCGGGAGACTGCAGCACTGGTAGCACCGAGGCCGTGGGTTTGGATCCTATATAGGGATGGCCAGTGCGCTCACTGGCTGAGCGTGCTGCTGACCGCACCATGCTGAGGGTTGCAATCCCCTTACTGGTCAAAAAAAAAAAAAAAAGCTAGACTCAAGTATATGCTGTCTGCAAGAGACTGATCTCATGTGTAAAACACACACAGACTAACAGTAAAGGGATGAAAAAGATAAACCACACAAAAGGAAACCAAAAATGAGCCGAAGTAGCTATTCTTATATCAGATAAAATAGACTTTAAACCAAAAACCATAAAAAGAGACAAAGCTAAACCACACCAGTGTCTGTCTGACTTGCTTAACCAGATTAACCAATTCTAGTGTTGTCTGAATATAGGCTTTTTGCAGTATTAAATAGGTGTAATGATATCTACTGGGAAGGATGGTTATGATAATTGAGCTTATACATAAAAAGCTACTAGAAGGGCCAGCCTGTGGTTCACTTTGGAGATTGTGGTGTTGATAACACCAAGGCCATGCGTTTGGATCCCTATATAGGGATGGCCAGTTAGCTCACTTGGGAGAATGTGGTGCTGACAACATCAAGTCAAGCGTTAAGATACCCTACCAGTCATCTTTTAAAAAAAAAAAAAAGCTACTAGAGCCACTTCTGACAAATATTTGTCCAGTAAATGTCAAATGATATTAGTAATACTATTATTATTTAATAGAGTTTTCAGTGGCTTTCACAGTTATCTGCAGAGAGAGCAAATGTATGATATTTGATGACTGATGTCTGATGCTTGTTGATAAATGACTGACATGAACAGGATTCCAAGTAATCCTGCACAAAGAGAAATAGAGATTAGCTGTATCCACTTAGTCTCTCAAGCTGCCCTGAAGTGATCTTGGCATTCAGGAAGGGAGTGTTCAGGCACATTTCACCATCAGCCTCCCAGAATAGCAGCCATTGTTTTATCCCATAGTAAGTCCTTGTTGTTGCTCTTTTTCACACACGCTGATTAAGGTCCCCCCTATTCAATAAGACTCCCATGGCCTAGTCTTGAGCAGTCATTCAGTTGGTTCATTCAGTAAAAGCTAAAGTGGGATACAGAATGCTGTTTTGAAATTTAGCCTCATGGTTTGGTGCTTGGGGAAGAGGGGCTGCATAATCTTCATGAGTTCTACCACTATGGGACTTTACAGGGCTTAAGTTTTCTTTCCTTTAAGATGATACTATTCCCTTTTCCTGATGGACAGCATGGTTAACAGTCTACTTTTTCTGCCTTTAGGTGAGACCAGACTAGTATAGCATTTCATATCAGCAATATGTATTAGTGTTAGTTTTCTAGAATGAGCAGGATTATATGGGAATTTCAAACTAGGATGGAATGATTTCCAGGAATGTGAATGTCAAAATTATGGGCAGCTCTGTGTTCTCATGCTTTCTTTCCCTTCTGTTAAGTCTCCTTTCCAGAAAACCAAACTGCCTTCATGAAGAAAAGGCAAAGGTAGATAGGACAGTGGCTGACTGCCTGAAAAATTGTTACCAGGTATCCTTCTAGAAGGAACTGTATCCTTCCACAAAGTGATAAGCAGTCGGGCTTTGATGACAAGGATATGTTCTGAGAAATGTGTCCTTAGGCTATTTCATGGTTGTTCCAACATCATAGAGTGTAGTTGCACAGCCTACTACACACCTGGGTTATTTGGTATAGCCTACTGCTCTGACCAGTGTCATATATACAGTTCCTTATTGACAGAAATGTTATTGTGCTGTGCACAACTGTACTTTAGGGAATACATATATTCCCTTGTAGACATGTCTCCAGCGTGTCTTAAAGCAAATAAAGCTCAACTCAAAAACTGAGTCCCCAGATGAATTTTCCCAGAGAGTGGAGCTTCTCACAGAGGTGAAATGTTAACTTGAAAATCATCCCAGTATTTCAATATTGCTAATTAATCTTGATCATCAGGATGCCGATTGCATGTTTCTTATTTTGCTGGATGCTCTTACAGATAGAAAGTGGGATGAAAGTTTCCTTTTCCCAAAGAATTTATTCATACATAAGTGTTTATGAGATGTCTGCAATGTTCATAGGAATGTCCTCCAATAGAGACAAACAGGACAAGAAGAACTCCCAGCCTGGCTGTACTGGCATAAGTTTATGTTTAAGAAGTGCTGTTAAAGGCATATAGGAGATCAAGCATATAGGAAATCATAGTGAGCTTAGAAGAGTTTGTAGGACCACTGTCCTGAGGGTAGATGATGGGAGACCTCAGAACCATGTATAGGCATTGGGTTCCCCTTCCTCATTCTCCAGTGAACCATGGTGAAACTGTTAATTGGCTGATCCAGCATGTGTGTGACAATTTAGGATTCAGTGACCTGTGATGATGGAGCTATGAAGTTCACCCCAGAGGAGTGGACTTTACTGAACACAACTCAGAGGCACCTCTACACAGATGTGATGCCCAAGTACTAGAGGAACCTGACTTTGGGAGTAAGACTAGCCTCATTTCTTGTTACCTCTTATGGAACAAACACATATCATGTGCTGACTGCGTTGCAGAATTGGTCACATCAACTATGAAAGCAGTAAGACATAACAAACACATAGTTCCTGCTGTAATATGTTTAACTTACTGCGGTGATTCTTGAAACGTCAACAGCACCAGCGTCACTCTTAGAAAGATTAATTTCCATTCTTCATCCTTTGATATACTGGATCAGAAACTCTGGAATTGGGGCCAAGTCCTCCAGATGAATCTAATATACTATAATGTTTGAGAGCCAAGGGGAGAACTGTTTGCCCATGAGGACAAACATCTTTTTCATTTGCACTTAACTTTATTTTCTACTTGCATAAAAGCTTTTTTAAGTTTCCAATTTAAAAAATGAACTTCTTTAAGTTAATTAGACATAGATACCATCAACAATAATCAACTCCAAATAAATTAAGCACATGAATTTGAAATACTATAAATATTGTATAGAACATATTTAAGACTTTAAAGTTAAAAATGATTTCTAAAACAGTAAAAAATCCTTTGTGTTATGACACTATAAAACAGTGAAAGCATTTCCTATTAGAGACAAAGATTTCTTTTTTCTTTTTACAGATGTTTGTTTACTTTGGGTGCTGGCAGTTTCGGGGATCTAAACCCTTGACCTTGGTGTTACAAGGCTGTGCTCTAACCAACTAAGCTAACCAGCTGGCCCAAGGGACAAAGATTTCTAAACCGACATCAGTTTAAGTTGCTGGGATTGAAAACAAAAATGTCAGTGGAGTTATTTCCACCATCACTTGTCATGTCCTCAGCCTGTATATTCTGGCCATGGGGAGATTGTGCCATGTAAGGATCTCTGACTCAAAGCATGTACAGTTAGACAGAATTTTATCCTTTCATAGAGTGGTCTGCCATCTGGCCCTGTAACTGAGTTTTCTTTCACCATTCATGTAGATCAGCTACTTCTGAGGGATGGGAGTGTGTGAGAAGATCAGTCGATTGCAGGGACATGTTCTTGCACTGAAATGGGTTCCTTGGTTAGAAACAGTGCTGCATGAATGCCATGACTACGGATAAAGCACTTTGTGAGTGCACAGATGGCGTGGCCAGCAGAAGCATAACTCATAGAAAGGCAACTCCACATCTAGAACATGAGTCTATTCCAGTGAGGGTGAATCTGTCGCGTCCATGATAGTAGAGGTTTGGTATAATCAACCTATCACCAGGTGGCTGTCTGGTCACTCTGAAGAATGGTGCCATTTGCTGCCAGTGTTGGTTTTAGCTTTAGCAGGTTAGACACAGCAGTAGTGTTAGCTGGGCCACCTTTGGCAAGGATGAGTTTATATTTTTGAGCCCATGCATAGCCTTTATCCCTTCCATCATGCCTTTTCTTTCATTCATGGGCCCATTGAGCAATCACTGAGGTGGCTGGGGAAAGGAATGAACATCTACAGAGTGGGTTATTGTGTTCGTCTGCATATTAATAGTTTTATTTCTAGTGGTTCAACTTTCCTGGGCATTTATCTGGACTTTCACAGCCTGTGTCCTTTCAGAGAGATCCATCCATATAACTTCTCCCAGACTTCCTCGTCATCAGTCTTGTTCCTTCCATATCCTTGATTATCCAGCCAAATCAATGGCAACTAATTATGAATCAACGTGTATGTATACTTCTGGCGATCTGTCACTGCAGATGCAGTGCACAAATACACTGCTTACAGTTCTCCCACTGAGAAAAAAACAGGCTGTGAACACCTTGTTCAGGTAATCAGGTGCACCAGTATAAGGCTGGTCCCTGCTACAAATCTGGCGATCTGTCACTGCAGATGCAGTGCACAAATACACTGCTTACAGTTCTCCCACTGAGGAAAAAAACAGGCTGTGAACACCTTGTTCAGGTAATCAGGTGCACCAGTATAAGGCTGGTCCCTGCTACAAACTCTCTCTTACCCTCCTCTCACTGTGATCTAGTGACATTCTGCTGTGGTTTGAATGTTCCCTCTAAAACTCATGTTGAAGTTTATCATTGTAACAGTGTTGAGAGGTTGAACCTCAAAACATGATTAGGTCATTAAGGCTTTGCCCTAATGAATGGATTCATGCTGTTATGGGAATGGGTTTGGTATCACAGGAGTGGGCTCCTGATAAAAGGTTAAGTTCAGCCCCTTCCTGTCTGTCTCAAGTGCTCAGTTACCTTTCCATCTTTGCAGCAGGAAGGCCCTTGCCAGATGTAGGCCCCTTGATCTTGGCCTTTCCAGCCTCCAGAATTGTAAAAGAGAAATTTCCTTTATTTATGAATTACCCAGTCTCAGGTATTGTTATCACAGCAGAAAATGGACTAAGAAACATTCAAAGAAATTATCAATGAAGTCTCATACCTTTTGATTTTGAACTCAATGCAGACCCCCAATAAGAGCACTTGCCCAGGGGTCCTAAGTGTCCCAGCTCCCTACCACTTGGTGAAGTCTGCTCCTTTGTCATCTTCCAGTGCAGTGTGGCTCCCTGTGTGTCATTCTGTGCCTCACTCTCTAGGACTTATAATAAATTCTTAATTTCATATGCCTCTGAATATAATTTCTCTGATCACATTGGAGTGATCCTGAAAGATCCCAGAAGGGGGACTCACTGCCCCATTCACAACACAACTGGCAAGGAGGACAGAAGTCCCTCGGAGATACCCTTTGACTGCCTGTAGCTTACCAATTGGCTATCCCACTTGGGCTCTACCCTCTGAAGACATTCTCTGTCTAGTTGGTGTTGATGCTTGCTGCTGTGTCCTGCTTTGCATTCACCCTTCCGAGTGCTGCCAGATAGAAGTGAAGTTCTATCAGAGTTGCATGGGGGCATATCACTTTGAGGTAGCATGGAAAACTGGGGGCCCAGTGGGCTACAGTACCTTTTGTGACCCTGCCTGTATTGTCTAATGTCTCACTGAATGGCATTTGGGAGAAAGAGATAATTTACTCTTCTCTCTCTCTCGACATTAAGGGTGTCTCACTTACTTGGAGTCCTCTACGGCACCTCCTGTAGGTCCATTCCTTGCTACTTGCTATGTTTTGAATGTTTGTGTCCCTCTGAAATTCGTGTCGGAACTTAATCTCCATCTGGTGGTATTAAGAGGTAGGGCCTTTGGGAAAGTGATTAAGTAATAAGGGCTGCACTATCTCAAATGGAATTAATGCTGTTATAAGAGACTTCAGTGTGAGAAATGCCCTCACCCATCCAATGCCAAAGGATGGACAGAGACACGAGGTATAGGTAAGCAAGAGTCTAATGACAGCCTTATAAGGTTTGGGTGTCTGCAGGGCAGGCACATGGAAAAGGGCTGTAGCAAGCAATTCATTTCCTAGTATGCAAGTCCCTCCCCTGGCTTCCTCATTGGTTGAGTACCAAGGGGTGCGCAATCTTCCTGAACCGATGGCTAAAATTTATTACCCCCTTGCAAGGAACTCTTTTGTCTGGGGGCTCAGGACAAGCCCCTGAGAAAGGCCCGCCTAAGCCATGTGAAGGGAGAAACACCAGAGAATGAAGAAAACAATGGGGGCTAGGAACTAATTACCACCTCAAGGGGAGCCTATCTGTTCAGAGACCCTCCAGGAAAATGAAGAAAACAAAAGGGGCTAGGAACTAATTACCATCTCAGTAAAACACCCTCAGATAAGTCATTTCTGAAAATGAATCACTTATTTTCTTACATTCAGAGACCCACCTGGCCCTTTTACCTCTTCTGCCATTTGAGGATACATTCTTTGTCTTTTTCACTCCTTCCATCTCTTCCACAATGTGAGGTCACAGCACTCATCCTTTCTCGTCCCTTCTGCCATGGGATGATGCAGCCAGAGCCCCCATCTTGGAAGCAGAGAGCAGCCCTTATCAGACTCAAAATCTGCTGGGGCCTTCATCTTGAACTTCCCACCCTGCAGAACTGTGAGAAATAAATTTCTGTTCTTTTTAAATGATCCAGTCTCAGGTGGACTCAGACACTGCCATTGCTCTCTGTCCATGAACCTCATGGCATGTTGCAGAAGCTGTCGAGACTGGTAGCTTAACGACAAAAACTAAGGATGAAGGCTGGAGCACTTTGATCCCTCTTTCCATAAAATACCTGAGGACATTTCTTAGTTGTTTTTTTTTTTTGTCTTTTTTGTGACCGGTAAGGGGATCGCAACCCTTGGTGTGGTGTCGCCCGCACCGCACTCAGCCAGTGAGCGCACCGGCCATTCCTATATAGGATCCGAACCCGCGGCGTTTGCTCCCTGCACTGCTCTCCCGAGTACGCCACGGGGCTGGCCCCTTAGCTCTTTTGAGATTATAAATCTCCTAGTCAGTGTGCTCAGGCACGTTTAAGTGCTGCTACCTATTATCATGCTAAGTGTCTCCTCCTTAAGTTTAAATTGTCACAAAATAAAACATTTAAGAGACAAAACTGAGGCCACTATTGCTCTTCTGGATGTAGACTTCAGATCTTCTGGATGGTTTGGGGGCTCTGTAGACAGGGATCAATTTGGGCTCACTGAGGACCAACAGGAGCCTGTCAGTTAAACATCCAAAGAGAGGGAAAAGTTTCTGCTGCCTAGAGGTACAAACCACTTTAAAATATTTTGCATAAGAGAATACGAAGAGGATGAAAGGAATGATTATCCTGGGGACAGGGACCACTTCAAGCAGAGTTTGCCAAGAGATGCCAAGCCCCGGCCCCTCCCTCTTTTTCTCCTATCAGCCAAAGACATTAAAAACCTAGGCCTCTAGTAGCTAAAAACCTAAAACAAAAAAAAAAAAACTGTAAGTGCAACATCTTTCATTCTTTTTTGACTTCTAGTGTAGACACAGTCCTCATTTACAAATCTTATTTACATATTACAAATGGGCCCAACCCCCCCACTCGCCCCCCCCCAAATTAAAAATGAACAGGAACTCTCATTAGTGCTCTCAGAAATTCCATCACTGAAGAGGCTTTGGCAACCTCTTCTCATGCCTCAGAGTGTCTCTGGATCATTTATGAAAGCCACTAGTTGCCCGAGCTTCTGATTGCAGGGTATTATGCCCCTCCAGCCTTGTGCTATATGTCATTTAGATAAATAACTGGAATTTCCTGAGCTGTTCTGGAAATAGACTCCTACAGATCCTGACCCTATGACCCTCCATACGCAGCTGCCCTTTATGCTGTGGGTCATGGATACCCCACAAGCCTGGCATGGCTGCTGAGGCCTTCCTAAGACAGTATGAAATCATTATGGATCCTTTAATAGTAAATTTTACTGCAGGAAAGGGTGGCTTCCCGTCTCCTTGACAGATGCCAGGGTACTGGAGGATCCCACTCGTGACTAACTAAGTGGACAACAATGGGAATTCCTGAGCTATACAAATGGTCCCGCTGACCACTACACCTGATAGAGCTTAGTGCAATTTTGTTTCACTGAGTGTCCACATCAGGAAGCCATTGGAAACTAGTCTCCATCGTGCAGGGAAGCCATGGCTGGTAGGTGAGAGTACAAAAGACAGTTTTCTTGTCACCTTTGTATTCTGAATTCAATACATTGCCTGAAAACTCCATTTTGTATCATGTTACAGTTACTTAGCTATAATCTTGGTATATGTTGACAATGATAAAAAGGATCTTGGTTGCCTGACAAGTCACCGGATGCCTTAGGTGAGCCAGACTCTGTGCCAGGTAATGAGGAACACTGGCATCCAAAGGAGATTTAGTGCCACCCATTAGGAGCAAAAACTCTCCAAGGGGAAGCAGATCCCCATGTCACAAACATTGTCAAAAAGCATTTCTAGAGACAAAAAGTTCTTTATGATAAAAGATTTTGTTTCTGCAAAAAACATTAAACTTTAAAAAAATGTATTCACCCAGGAATATCTGCCAAATGTATAATGAATATTACATTCCTGAAGAAACAGACAAGTCACAATTCCAGTGAGAGATGTTAACATGTCTCCCATACTGCTTCTCTAAACAGTAGTGAAAAAATAAATTAGGATATACATGTGAAAAAGGTAAGCAGTGTGCTGAGAGTTCATAAACAGAATAATCACAAACTGCTTGTCTGCAGGTGAGGGTGAGAGAATGGACTGGAAGGGGCTTAGAGGGACTTCTGGGGAGATGACTAAGTTCTATACCTTGTTTAGGTTGGTGATTGCAAGACTATGTTCGATTGTCAGAACCCATCCACTGAATACTTAAGATGTGTGCATGTGACTGTACTTTAATGTTATCTCAATTTTTTAAAAAAAGTCAAATATTCTGTGCAGGTGACACCAAACTGGACATAGTTTGTGGGCCTGTTCAGTCCATGGACTTCAAGTTTGTGATAGGTGGTTAAAGTACAGTGTATTCCAGGAGTTTAGAACAGGTGATTTTTCTAACCCAGTGTGACTTCAGGGTTTTAATCTCCTCATGCATAGAACAAGGCCTGTAGGGTATTTGAGAGGGTGAACTTGGCTTACGGATAATGAACTCTGGCACTTTGTGCATGTCAGCATTCAAATACTATTCTGTTGATTACCAACTGGGCTGCCTTTTTGAGTTTGATTGTCATTAATTTATTTTTTTCTTTTTTACAGTGGCTGGCTGGTAAGGGGGTCCAAACCCTTGACTTCAGTGTTATCAGCACCATGCTCTAACCAAGTGAGCTAACCAGCCACCCATGTTACTAATTTTTAACAAAAAGAGTTTACCTTTAAACTATATGTGGTTAGAAAAATAAACAAATAAAAATAAAGGAAAAACTCACTGAAAATAAGCAGAACTGATAACTACTATAAAAATATAGTTCTCTGAGAAAATCCACAGGATAGGCAAGTGTTGGGTACATCTGATTTGGTACTGTCCCTCTGCCAATGTGAGGGGAAGAGGACAGACATATTAGATTTGACTGTTTCAAAAACAAAAAAAAGATTTGAATGTTTCCAACCAAGATGGTGTTGAGTACTTGCAATGTATTCTGAGTTTCTTGTAAAAACCTTGTCAATTCCTTTTCTAATCTTTTAAGATCAAAGGTGGAATAGCCAATGGTTATTCTCCTTTTCTGCCATCATCACGTCCAAGAACCAATTCAGAATATTTGTGCTGTCATAGTGTGTATAGGTGTATGTATGTAGAACACTCTACTTTCCCACCTGCTTGATTTTTCTCCATAGTCCCCTGCTTTTTTGGGCAGCTGGCTGGTACAGGGATCAAACCCTGGACCTTTGCGTTGTCAGCACCATGCTCTAACCAACCGAGCCAATGGGGCAGCCCCTCCATAGCACTTCTGAACTATGAAGTTCATTACTTATCTTCTTCCACAGGAATGTTGGATCTTTAAGGCAGAGGACACTTTCCATGTACTTTCCTGCTCTGCTCAGTGCCTAGCACAGGGACAGGAGTTCTTAACTATTTCCTGAAAGAATGAAGGAACAAGTTAGAGCTCAAATATTAAAATAAGGCACAGACCTCCAAGCTGTTCCAAGCCCTATTAAGGAAACCCCAAGGGTGTCAGCTGAATAACAATTTTATTTTCCTACTATTTATCACATCTATCAGTAGTCTAGACTAGGACTTCCAATAGGAACATAATGTGTAAGACTTACAGTATCCACAATAAACGACATAGAAACAGGCAAGATTATTTGTAATAATGTTTTATTTTACTGCATATACCAAAAATATTGAGTATGTAAACCAATTTTAAGACTGACTTATTTATATCCTTTTCCTTATACTAAGTCTTCAAGTCAATAGACACTGAATTGTGATCAGATGTACGTGAATTGTGTTTATATCTAGTAAAGGTAACAGTTTAAAAAGTAGATTTAAACATCTAAGTTGTTCCAAACATACTGAAGTTTTCAAATAACTAAATTATGCGTATTTTTAAATTTCAATTTTAACAACTAAAATTAAATAAAAACCAACCAGATAATGTATACTGTGAAACTAGGCTTAAGTCTGAAAATTGGAGGCTCAATTTGGCCATGTTTGCAACCTGAAAGGTGACAAATATATATCACTCTAGGAATGACCAGGCCAGAATCGCAAAGGTTCAAATTCTACAGAATGAAAAAGCCATACCTCTGTCAGCAGACCAGACATAAGAAAGCAATCCCCATATTCCTTATATTCACAGCTTCTCTTGTGCTAATCACGTTTATGAAAAGCTGGGAAATATCATGTAAAAAAGATGACTTTCCAACATTTCTTACCTTCATAAAGGTTTTCTCTTTTGTGAGATAAGTAAACAAAGTATTTAGCAGAATTATGAGTTTTCCACATAGATTCAATCAATAGGGTTTCTCTCCATTGCAAGATCTCACAAATTCAGTAAGATCCATGGAAATGGTGAAGACTTTCTGTGCTTCCTCCTTATATGACTTCAGGGTGAGTTTTTACAAGCTGGATTGTGATCAGATTCCATTGGCTCTCTCACATTCCTTAAATTCATGGGGCATTGTCAGAGTGTGTTGTTTTATGTCTTTGAAGTAAATGGGCATACCTGAAGGCTTTCCCACATTCCTTACAGTCATAAGGCTTCTCTCCAGTATGTATTCTTATGTGTTGATTAAGAGCTGATTTCTGAGAAAAGGCTTTTCCACATTGTTTACATTCATAGGGTTTCTCTCCAGTGTGAGTTCTCATATGTGCAGTACGGTGTGACAAAGCAGCGAAGGGTCTCCCACATTCCTTACATACATAGGGCTTCTCTCCAGTGTGAGTTCGTATGTGTTTAGAAAGGGCAACAGCCCAAGTGAAGGTTTTCCCACAGTCCTTACACTTATAAGGTTTCTCTCCAGTATGAGTTTTCATATGAGAATTAAGATGTGAGACTCTAGCAAAGGATTTCCCACAGTCCTTACATTTATAGGGCTTCTCCCCAGTGTGAGTTCTTACATGTTTAGTAAGGTTGGAATGCCCAGTGAAGGCTTTGCCACAGTGCTTACATTTGTAGGGTTTTATTCCAGTGTGACCTCGACTGTGAATTTGAAGGTTGGAGGAATGACTAAAGGATTTTCCACATACCTTGCATCCAAAGGGCTTCTCCCCTGTGTGAGTATTTAAATGTTCTCTTAGTCGGTAAAACCTAGTAAAGCCTTTCCCACATTCCTTACATTCGTGGGGCTTCTCTCCAGTGTGTATTACTACATGGTTATTAAGGCCTGAGTACCGACTGAAGGCTTTCCCACATTGCTTACATTTATAGGGCTTCTCTCCAGTGTGTGTTCGTTCATGATCAGTAAGTCCAGAACGCCCAGTGAAGGTTCTCTCACAGTCCTTACATTTATAGAGTTTGTCACTCTCTCCAGTGTGAGTTTTTATATGAGAATTAAGATGTGAGGCTCTAGTAAAGGATTTCTCACAGTCCTTACATTTATAGGGCTTCTCTCCAGTGTGAGTATTTAAATGTTGACCTAGTTGGGAAAACCTAGTAAAGCCTTTCCCACATTCCTTACATTCATAGGGCTTCTCTCCGGTGTGTTTTTGTTTGTGATTAGTAAGTCCTGAGTGCTCAGTGAAGGCTTTTCCACATTCCTTACATTTATAGGGTTTCTCCCCAGTGTGGATTTCCATGTGGCAATTAAGATGGTAAACATACCTAAAGGTTTCTCCACATTCCTTACATTTGTAGGGTTGTTTTTCAGTGTGCTTTTGAACAGACACAGGATGGCTTGTGGGGTCAGTGACAGCTCTCCCACAGGCCTTCGATTCGTAGAGTTTTTCTCCGTTGTGAGTTGTCTTATGTGCCTGAAGGTGTGACTGATTAAGGATCACTTTTCCACAGGCCTTACATTTGTAGGGTTGTTTTTCAGTGTGCTTTTGAACAGACACAGGATGGCTTGTGGGGCCAGTGACAGCTCTCCCACAGGCCTTCGATTCGTAGAGTTTTTCTCCATTGTGAGTTGTCTTATGTGCCTGAAGGTGTGACTGATTAAGGATCACTTTTCCACAGGCACTGGATTCAAAGGATTTGCCTCTCATGCACGTGCTCTGGGAAGCAACATTTGGAATCAGGCTACAGGCTGTTTCACACTGATTCAATACAGAAAGTTTCTCTCCAGTAGAGATGTTCTTGTGCAAAATAAAAACGGCTTTTCCATGGTGATTACAGTTAGAAGTGTCCCTTGAATTTTGAGTTCTCATGTGTGTCTTAAGGCACGAGTGCTCACCAGAGATTTCTCCACGTTGCTTACAGTCCCAGGGTTGTGGTCCATTGCAGCTTACAGCCTGATGAGAAAGGGATGATTAAAGGATCTTTCTGATTTATTAACATATTCCACCCACCTGAAAACAGAAATATTATGCTAATCATTATGATTTTTGCCATTTTTATTACATGCATATAGTTCCTGCCCTGTCGATTTCATTCAAGTCAAATAAAGAAACCCTACAGTAAGAATTGTGTTATCTTCCCTAACCATGAAAGCATTCCTGTATATTTTCATGAAATTTTAAAAAAAATCTCAATAACTAGTAACATAGCAGACACAGGATGGCTTGTGGGGTCAGTGACAGCTCTCCCACAGGCCTTCGATTCGTAGAGTTTTTCTCCGTTGTGAGTTGTCTTATGTGCCTGAAGGTGTGACTGATTAAGGATCACTTTTCCACAGGCACTGGATTCAAAGGATTTGCCTCTCATGCACGTGCTCTGGGAAGCAACATTTGGAATCAGGCTACAGGCTGTTTCACACTGATTCAATACAGAAAGTTTCTCTCCAGTAGAGATGTTCTTGTGCAAAATAAAAACGGCTTTTCCATGGTGATTACAGTTAGAAGTGTCCCTTGAATTTTGAGTTCTCATGTGTGTCTTAAGGCACGAGTGCTCACCAGAGATTTCTCCACATTGCTTACCATCCCAGGGTTGTGGTCCATTGCAGCTTACAGCCTGATGAGAAAGGGATGATTAAAGGATCTTTCTGATTTATTAACAGATTCCACCCACCTGAAAACAGAAATATTATGCTAATCATTATGATTTTTGCCATTTTTATTACATGCATATAGTTCCTGCCCTGTCGATTTCATTCAAGTCAAATAAAGAAACCCTACAGTAAGAATTGTGTTATCTTCCCTAACCATGAAAACATTCCTGTATATTTTCATGAAATTTAAAAAAAAATCTCAATAACTAGTAACATACGTAGTAATGAGTACTTGTGGGAACTAGTTTCAAGCTAGGATTAGGGTATCCAGAAAATTCACCATATTC